TTTTTCCTCCATATCCCATAATGCACAACGCATCGACCTACGGCAGCTGGATTAGTCCAAAAGGCGCATTACTTTTTGCGGTTGGGTCTGTTTTAGTTCGGATCATATTCTCACCACAAACTAACCACTCCAAGGTTAATTTGAAACCGTACCAAGACCACCTCTTCAAGCAGGTCTCAGTACGCTTTTTTGGTCCGCTTTTGGTGGGCGCTCGAGTACTGTTGCTGCATTCACACCTGCCCAAACAAACCGCACCAAGAGGGAAAACGAACTCTAGTGCGATTCAACAGAACTAAAGGCAGGTGTGAAAGCACCCTTGCACACTAAACTGAACTTCAACTCTGAAAACTGGACTGACAGTTTCAATTTACTAGAACTTTTATGTTAAGCAGCTTTGATACAATGCACATAGTAAAAGCGAAATAATAATATAGAAATAAAGATGAATTAAATTAGTAATTTGCCAAGGTATAGAGAATTGTAGGCTACATCTTTGCAAATATTTTTGAAGATAGTGCTAAGGTGGTGGATCCCCGTCAGCTCCTGCTTCCTGATTTATGTTGTGGTTACACTGAGGAAGGAAGGCTCCAGCAAATGTCACTGAGTTACTGTGGTTACTACTAATGATTGGGAGTAGCACATCTATTTTAAACTTTATGGGTTGTTGCTATAAAGGATACAGCTGGAAGTTAATGAGAATTATTTATTAACCCTTTCCTTTAATTGTATTTTATTAACATCTACCTCAACAGTATTGTAAAGAATTATTTCTATTATTTATTAAATTACCCCAATAAATTTTATTCTATTAAAGTCTACCCCTACCCCAACTCTAAACCCAACCCTCACAGTAATGTAAAGAATTATTTGTATTATTTATTAAATTACACCAATAAATTTTATTCTATTAAAGTCTACCCCTACCCCAACTCTAAACCCAACCCTCACAGTAATGTAAAGGATTATTTGTATTATTTATTATATTACCTAATAGATTTAATTTTATTAAAATCTACCCCTACCCCAACCCTAAACCCAAGCCTCACAGTATGGTAAAAATATGTATTATTGTTCTATTGTCACAAAAATGATGCTATACAGAAGTGAGGATCTTGAGCTGACTTTACCAACTATATGGGCATTAACCAATTTTACTGCACACCTTCCAGCCAATCAGATTCAGGAATTTCAACAGACCATGGGATAACAGAAAAAATTATAGTAGCAATAATGTTAGTCAGTGGCCCATTATTAATTATTCCACACTTGCAATATTTTCTCTCTATCAGCACTCTTGGCAGTCAGAGGCATAAGGACTCTTTGGGAATAACGAGATGGTCTTCAGCCTCTCGTCTGGCTCCAGAAGGGGCTCCGCGATCACACTCTTCTGCAGAGGACTTCCAGCTCCAAGCTGCTCTGGAGGAAAGCAGCATGAAGAGAGCAGAACTCGTCCAGAGGCTCCGAGAGGCCAGAGGTCACCTGGATGCTCAGACAGACCTTTTGAAAAGCAAAGGGTTTCAGCTTCAACAAAGCAAGAGCCTCTCAAACCTTTTGGACATAAAGCACAAGGTATGGATACATCTGCGTGATCTGAATTTTTAAAGATGGTTTTATTTGGCATTGGTCTGATTGACTGAGGCATCTGATGGGATGAAAAGAGGATCTGGGGAAAGTAATGAAAAGTTACACTTTAAAAAATCCTGGATGGTTTTAATCAGAATTGTTTTCTTTTTTTAAGAAGAAAAATGTAGTGTTTGTCTATATTTGGCCCACAACTGATATATTTAATATAAAATGAGTGACAGTTACAAGATATTAACTGACCATTGTTTATGTAAATTATATGCACAATGGCAAGTTATTATCTTAATTATCTTAATATTTTTTGAGAGTTCTCAGTTTTATGTCTCTACCACAGAAAATATAAAAATATATCTGCAACATATATTAAAATTCAGACTATTTTTGTCATAATTGCAAGAAAAAAGGTCTGAATTTTGACATGTTGCAGTTTTATATTTTTTAGTGGTTGTGAGATTTCTGCTTTGGTGAGATTATAATTTCCATTTGTTGGATTTAAACTATAGCAAAATTAACAATCAAATAAAAAATGCTCAGAAATCAGTTCTGCCTTTTCCAAATGGACTCCTATAAATAGGCTAACATTTTTTGTGTTCAGTTAGAAAACTAATCCGAACGTATGCTAAGTACACTTAGTTACAACACTAAAAACTAGTTATCTAGGTAAGTCCTGTGTGTAGGTTTAGTCATTTTACATTTATGGCAATGAATAGTTTCTTTTCATTACCTTTAAAGTGAATTATCTGAACAAACACTCACTGGCAACTTTATTAGCAACACCTGTCCGACTGCTCGTTAACGCAAATTTCTAATCAGCCATCACATGGCAGCAACTCAATGCATTCAGACATGTAGACATGGGCTGTTTCTCAATTCCAAGAACGCAGAGACCAGACTTGTGTTCGTGTGGAGACCGGTCTTGCCAGGTGTCCTCGGAAGAACGAACTCAGGAGACCGCGAGGGCAGAGAACGCGTCCTTTGAGAATTGAGATGCTGCGTTCTTCCTGATGGTCACATGACCTTCACGTGTTTTAAATGTTAAATAATTTAAACAGTACAACGATTAATTGTTTTCCCCTTTTAAAAATATATACTTTGCATAAAAACATTATAAATATATGTTGCACAATATAAAAAAAACAGATTTTAATACAAATTTCAGCAAACAAACACCCTTAAAGTGTTTATTCCTTTGTTAAGATGTCCATGGTAATGTTTACTTTCACCGTTTCATTTAGGGAAACTCCTGAGGTAAATAATTCATATTTATGAACTTTACTAATACATCTAGATAAAATGCAATGCTTCCCACCTCAAGTCGCAATGACTTCTGGGACTTCCAGAGCGAGTTCGGTGCTCAAGTCTGCATCGGTGGGTCCTCGATATCAAGAACACATCCAGGAAGTTTCACACGTCCTCCGTGCTTGCGGTCTTGAGTATTGGAACTGAACTTCACGAGAACACGAGGACGCAAGACCGCTGAAGAACGCATATTGAGAAACAGTCATGGTCAAGACGATCTGCTGCAGTTCAAACTGAGCATCAGAATTGGGGAAAAAAAGCGATTTAAGTGATTTTGACATGGCATGGTTGTTGGTGCTAGACGGGCTGGTCTGAGTATTTCAGAAACTGCTGATATACTGGCATTTTTACGCACAACCATCTCTAGGGTTTACAGAGAATGACCTGAAAAAGAGAAAATATCCAGTGAGCGGCAGTTCTGTGGGTGCAAATGCCTTGTTGATGAGGTCAGAGGAGAATGGCCAGACTGGTTTCAGCTGATAGAAACACAACAGTAACTCAAATAAGCACTCGTTACAACCAAGGTATGCAGAAGAGCATCTTCTGCACAACACATTGAACATTGAGGCAGATGGGCTACAGCAGTGGAAGACTACACTGGGTGCCACTCCAGTCAGCTAAGAACAGGAAACTGAGGCTACAAATTAAGATAGACAATACAATAGAAGATTGGAAAAATGTTGCCTGGTCTGATGAGTCTCGATTTCTGCTGTAACATTTGTATAGGGTCAGAATTTGCTTAACAACATGAAAGCATGGATCCATTCTGCCTTGTATCAAGAGTTAAGTCTGCTGGTGGTGGTGGTGTAATGGTATGGGGGATATTTTCTTGGCACACTTTGGGCCCATTAATACCAACTGAGCATCATGTCAACGCCACAGCCTACCTGAGTATTGTTGCTGACCATGTCTATCCTTTTTATGACAATAGTGTACCCGTCTTCTGATGGCTACTTCCAGCAGGATAATGTGATTTGTCATAAAGCGTGAATCATCTGAGACTGCTTTTTTAAACATGACAATGAGTTCACTGAACTCAAATGACCTCCACAGTCACCAGATCTCAATCCAAAAGAGCACCTTTTGGATATTGTAGAAAGGGAGATTTGCATCAGGGATGTGCAGCCGACAAATCTGCAGCAACTGTGTGATTCGATTATGTCAATATGGAGCAAAATCTCTGAGGAATATTTCCTCAATATTTCACAAACTACAAAATCTTACTAGAAAAAATAACTTCTATTATACTCAAAAGTTCACCTGCAATATAAATCAAAACTGTGTATTGCGACTTCCTTATGCCTCCTATAAGTCGCTCGAGAGGCAGTGAGGGTCCTTTGAATTTGTGACGCGCTGGTGGCTTTAGACAGACACACTGAGCCCAAGATGTTATAAGGAAAACTTTATGTAAACTTAAAGCATGACAAACAATACAGCAATTTGTGAGTTGAATACCTGTTTTGTATGGAGCTGATTATTGCTTTGTAGTGATGGTTATTGCGTGTGTCGTTGCGTTGCGATGCCGTTTGCGATGCCGTTTTGCATGGCTGTTTTGCGGTCAACAAAAAATACGGCTACCCCACTCTCCTTCTCTCCTCCTAACACCAGTGTGATTGTGCACGCGCTTTATTTGTTCTAGCAGGTGCCAGTTATGCCCACGTGACCAAAACATAAAACGTCTCTGTGAAAACCAAAACTAATCAGTATACAAATAAACATTATAATTTAATGAAAAGTAATATGTCTCCTATACTGTGAACTACTTGCGCACTTAAAATTTACTACTGTTAAACTTATAGTACACTTAAAAATATACATTTATATACTAAAAAGAGGGTTAATTTAGTGCCAAGCGATATTTAATTAGTACACTTACAAGTATACTACTGGTAAATAAATGTTAGCTTATTCTTTGTACATGAAGCACACCTTGAAAATGTCATTTAACATTACTTAAATATATTTCATAAAATAAGCTTGAAATGTACTTATTTTTTGTAAGATAGTGTAGGAAATATAGTCAGAGTTGTGAGATTAAAGTTTGCATATTAGCTTTCATATTTCAGAGTCTGCTTTTTTTCAATGAACCATCATGCCTGTTGAATTTCCTTCACAGCAGCTTTCTGAAGCAGTAAAAATTCTTGAGCAAGACAAAGGAGCTGTGGAGATGAGTCGCTTTGAGGAGAGTCGCCGTCGTAGAGAATTACATGATAAGTGAGTTATACTGTAGACTAAACTAACATTACAGGTTTTTTTATTGGTTTGGATTGATTTTCATAAGTAAGGTGTGCTCAAGTCTCTAAACTGATAAACTACACTGTTCATTCTTTCCAAAATGATGTCCTGATTTCATTGCACTTAGTTTCACATATTTTCATTCAGTAATCATTGTTTCAGAACACTTAATCATTGCGATATATTGAGTACATTTGGTTTACAGTTTTAAAAAAAAATTCTTCAAAATGGTATTATTTGGGTGGCACAGTAGTTCCGTGGTTAGCACTGCTGCCTCACAGCAAGAAGGTAGCTAGTTTGAGTCCTAGGACAGATGACATTTCTGACCAAAAGAAACACAGACCAAAGACATGCACTATTGGTGAATTGAATGAACAAAATTGGCCATGGTGTATAAGTGCGTGTATGAATGTTAGACTGTATGGGTGTTTCCCAGTACTGGGTTGCAGCTGGAAAGGCATCTGCTGCATAAAAACTAACATATGCTAAAATAGTTGGTAGTTCATTCCGCCATCGCGACCTCTGAAAAAGAGACTTAAGCCTGATTTATACTTCTGCGTCAGGTGACCGGCGTAACCTACGGCGCAGGCAACGCGCGTGGCTGTGCATTTATACTTCTGCGCGCTGTCTCTGTTGGTCTGCATTAACACTTCCGAAACGCTAGTGGGCAGTGAGGTGTTAATGTTGCTCTGTGTCGAGTTTCTTCGCTGTTGTTTTGCTTTTCCTAAACACTTCCGGGATGTACAAGTGGCTCAAACTCGCTCATTTTGAGGCAGAAACCGGCGGACGTGCAACAACTTGCAACACAAAACAAAACTTTACATCCGGAGCTCCTTCACGGGACTCCACACTTGTAAACAATCGCTCGCGCCATTCGCGCGGCTCTCGGTCTCGCCCAGACTCGTCGGCGCTAGCAAGCCGACCAATCACAGAGCTTACGCTACGCGTTGTTGCGACGTGTAGTTACAATTTTTGAGAGGTGCACGTCAGTGACGGCGACGGCCACGGCGAAGGGCTATGCGTCAGCGCCGTAGCCTACGCCGGTGTTTGACGCAGAAGTATAAATCAGCCTTTACTTGTTAACATAATGTCATTCATTCATTCATTCATTCATTCATTCATTTTCCTTCGGCTTAAGGCTAGTGTGGAGTCCCGTGAAGGAGCTCCGGATGGAAAGTTTTGTTTTGTGTTTACCTCATGGTTAAAGTTGTTGCACGTCCGCCAGTTCCTGCCTCAAAATGAGCGAGTTTGATTCACTTGTACATCCAGGAAGTGTTCAGAATAGCAAAACAGAAGCGAAGAAACTCGACACAGAGGAACATTAACAACTCACTGCCCACTAGCGTTTCGGAAGTGTTAATGCAGACCGACAGAGACAGCGTGCAGAAGTATAAATGCAAAGCTGCACGCGTTGCCTGCGCCGTGAGTTGCGCCGGTCACCTGACGCAGAAGTATAAACCAGGCTTAAGATGTACATTTTCAAATCTCTTAGTACAATAATTTAAACAGTTCACACTTATCACACCGCTAGTCACTTTTTCATATCTGATCTCATCGTTTAATTGTAGTTGCACATTTTTCAAAAGTTTTTATAACTTTAGTGCCGACTTTCTTAGTTTATCAACTTAAACTCTGTGGACCCGGTACCGGGTCCGTGACGTCATCGAATTTCGCTTTCAGATTTAAAGGGCTAGCGTTGCACCAGACCCCCGTAAGTGGTGTCGTTTGAAAGTGTAGAATCTATATTTTATGCACATATGCATCACTTTGGTTTTTATTCTACTGTGTAGAAGGTTTTTACCCTTTAAATACACAGTATTTTGGATACCCGAGCTAGGTATTTTACATTGGTTCATTTTCATATTTTTTCATATGACACATGTGCAAGTTATAGCTCAAATGAAAGCTCTTGCCGGTGCTCATACAGTTCTAGCATTCTTTTTACTGAATTATATTCATATGCCAAACAGTTGTTGAATGAATTGTGGTGTTTCCATGGCGCAGAAATGTAAACAATACATTCATGATCAATAAGCAGCCCCAGATAGCACAGACAGCTGTCATCTCTTACCTTATGCTGTGTGCTTCAGGGCCATTTCTCCTCTGTTTTTGAGGTGATGTGCATAAGTAATCCTTTTATATGTCTGATGTGGTTCAAACACAGTGAATTATGTTTGATCAAACAAAAGAATAGTGAAATATGTAAACAAGGATCGGTCTCTGTGGCTTGTACAGCACCTCTCATCAGTTGGAATGCAATACCTTTTGCATAGATTATGGTAGAGACATTTTTCTTTTTTCCATGATTACAGACATGTGCAGGAACTACCAAAATTAATTACAGCACGCTAGACCACACAGAACCTAAAAGGTACACTTTCAAATTTGAGTTTATAAAAAAAATATACAAAAAGCCCCTTTTTTTAGGTGTTTATTATAACACAGACGACATATACAGTTATTTTAAACACTTTAAATAGTGTTTTATGAAAATTCAAAGGGTTTTCTTTAATATGATACCAAATTTTTGCATTTACACCTCTGCATGTGGATTTGGGAAGCTTTTAAATTTGGGTAGGCAAAATCCAGGAGGAAATCCCCAAATAGCTGCAGAGTTTAAGTGGTTATTGCAGGATTTTAAAATATTTTTATACATTTATTGTGTTGCTTTTGCTGTGAAATTTACATAAATTTACACAACCTGATTACTTTTTAAATTCAAGACTTTAAGTTGGTAATTTATATAAAGGGAACAAAGGAGGAACAAAGAGAGAAGTGCTTACCGCTTAACCCTATAAAGTCTGTTACATCATTTTGATGCATTAATGAATGACTATGAAAAAACAAAACAGTTATTGTTGTATAACAAAAAAATCATGTTAAAAATCTGCTTCAATTCAACAATGACTATAATTTTCCTCCATTGCTCTGATGATCGTTTTTAGTTTCTCAGATACCCAAAGACCATTTATGAGGTATCCACACACTATTTGATTTTATTTTTAGTGTTTGGAAGATGTTTGTCAAAAGAAATTACTATAAAACGGTCTGCTTTTTTGGTGGTGATTTGCATTGGTTTACATTGTGCGCTCATGGGTGAGTCCAAAAACACGGTGGAACGCAACTCTCCGTGATGCAGATTCTCATTCTCTATACACAGAAATGAAGTAAGTCATATAGTGTATATCTTATAACATTTCAGGTTTAAGTCAAATTGTTTTAAAAGAAATGTGTTTTTGTCTTAATTTAACGTTAACCTTTAATGTTGATTTGCCTAATGTTAACTTAGAGTTCTGCAGCTCGAGTTGGACATTTTGAAGATGAGGTCCAACCTGGAAACTCTGTCCACATCAGTGGATCCACTTAGCAGAACTCTGCCTGATACTAAAGACCAAATCCGCAGAGAGGTAGAGCTTGCTGGGAAGGATAAAAACTTACAATTTTAGTACTTTTTGTGTGCTAGATTTTTTTATAATGTTTGCTATGTCCATCAGAGACAGAAGCAGGCTGAGAAGGAGATAAAGAAACTGAGAGAAGCTCTTAGAAAGGCTGAGGAGAAAACAGATGAGCTGGAATATGAGAAAGAACATGCACTGAAGCAGCTTCACTCCTCTGATGAGGTTCATTTTTAATTGTTGTCAAAGTATATTAAAAGGATAGTTCAACCAAGAGTAAAACTTCTAATATGTTTAATGATGTCATCTGAAGTCATTGTTAATAAAAATAATAAAAAACAGTTTTTTTAGAATAATAAAAAAAACGTTCTGTGTTTTGTTTGTACAAAGGAAGTTAAAATGAGGCTATTGTTGTTAACCAAAGCTAACCAAAGCTAAAAGTGTGGAAACATCTAATAGTTTCATAGATAATTTCTAATTTTTATTTCATAAAAAAAATTTGAAATTGAAACAGAATACATTAAAGCACTGCAATAACTGTTAAAATTGTATAAAATATTTATGGTACAGGTATTCTAATTTAAATAAGTAAAAAAAAAAAAAAAAAACATTATGGCTAAAATATTGTTCAGAAATTTACTTAAAAAATAATTTTGTCAGAATTTTTACTAATTTTAACAACAAACATTTTTGTTCAGTCAAATGAAGCTGAGGTTAAATTTTTTTCAAATTAAAATAAGTAAAATATATAAAAAGAATTGCTAACTTAAGAAATAGAGCTAAAATTAAAACGAAAAGGCATTTAAATTATGTAATATATATATATATATATATTATATAAATAAAACCTTTTTAAAAAAACAAACATTCTTTTGCTCAGATTTCTTTCTGTGTTCCACAGATGTCATAATTTTAAAAATATAATTTGATCAAATAACATAGTTTCTTTTTTGACAAAAACAAACATTTAATTTAATTAAAATTGAGCTCAAAGTAAAAAAAAAAACTAAAACAAAATGACAAACTAATTGAAATTACACAAATATTTGAACTTGTACATGCATTGAACATTAAAAATTTTATTGATTTTTTCCAATTGGCAATTCAACTAAATCACAAAATAAAATTGTCTTCATTTTCATATTCAAAACTAAATACTGTGTTTTCATTCTTCCTGACATTTTCCATTAAAATTTGCATTTGTGATTAGCTTTACAGTAAAGAACAAAACTCTATTAAGTTTAAAATGTGTGCGATAATTCACACAGCTTAAAGAAGAGGCTGTAAACAAAGCAGGAGAGATGGAGCAAAGGCTGAGCAGCTCCATCCAAAATCAAGCAGAGCTAGAAGAGCAGCTCAGTGAGTCTCGCAGCCGGCTGGGACAAATGGAGCTGGTATGAACACAAAACTCTCAAAGTTTTCATTATGACATTCAACACCTCCAAATCAACCATTATCTACCACATCCTCAGGAAAAAGACCTGTTTTCTGCTAAGATGCGGAGACTAGAAGACAATCTGAATGACGTGAAGGTCAAACTGTCTGGAGCTTTAATGGACAAAGACCGTCTTCTCCAGGTCTGCTGGATACATTTAATTTCTTTACACTATTAAAAATAAAAGTGCCAGGGAGACCAAAACAGGTTGTTCATCATCATGATGAAGTTGTTCATAGAAGAACCTGGCTCCCATGAAAAATGAAGAACATTTTTAATAATTTAAAAGATCCCTTTTTCACTAAAAATTATTTTTTTGGATGATAATATTCCAAGATCTTCATGGAAACACCAGTAGTGAGGCTTTTATAGCTAGCATGAAGCATATCTTTTCAAAATTTCACAAATAAACTGGAGAAAATGGATTTGCATTAAGCTGATAGAGCCACTCACTGTAGTATTGATAACCATAATGGAGTCACATGGGCTTAAAGGGCCATGACACCCCCCACTTTCGGTTAAAGTCTACTTCAGAATTTTTTCAAAAGATGCATGATTAATGGGCGTGGAGCTCCGTGAGCATAGGGTAGGAGTGGGCGTGGCCAGCAGGGGAGAAGGGGAGCGAACAACTGTTGTTGACAGTTAGCTCACAAAATGAGACAAACCGTGAGGAGAGGCATGAGTTTATAGTTCACAAAGTTAAAATGCAAAGAAATAAACAGTAATTTAATGCCCTGCTACATTTTGTTATTCGTAATTTTATATACACATAATCACAATTTATATCATTATAAAGATAAGTGTGTTCATGTAAACACTATAAATGAGGATTCTCCCTCGATCCCCGGGTCTAAATTATAGATCTGAATGCAGACTCAGTGCAGCAGGTCTCCTGACCTGCCTATTTTAACCAATAGCCCTGCTGGTAATATAGAGGAATTTAGGCAAACACAGCAGCACGGCGATGTGTCTGAATGTGAACGAACTCCTGATAAAAGTCAACGTCCGCCGTTCTTTAATTCTCGTACTGCTCTCCCAACAAAAATGCTTGCAGCACACACACAGCTTTGCTGTATGATCGGCCCTGACAAGATTGCGGGGAACAAACATGCAACAAACCCCGTGGATCATGGAAACAAACACATACGAGCCTTCATGAACGGCTACTGCGTGCCGTGGGTCTGTGTCTCACAGCTTGCTTGAAACTGGCAGGTCTGCCTTGCCTTCGGAAAGCACGTGCTCTCATGAATAATCAAGCAGCAGGCTCTTCTCATAGGATGAGAAAACTCCGCTATGAATAATAATGAGAAACCGACGCGTCATCATTGCACTTGCAGTACTGCGATACGTTGCCGATTTTGATCCCGCCCCAAAAATCATTTTGTCTTAACTGATGCTCAACACACACACACATCTGTTTATATAAAAAAAGTTCTGCAGGGTGTCCTGAACCTTTAATATTTTCTACATCTGAGTTTATTCAGGACATTTGTCTCCATCTCTCTCTTTTCATATTAATTTCTATTCGCACAAGTCTAAAATCACCTCAATCAAGAATTTTTATTGCAAATTACTGGATTTTTATTTAAAAATTGTCATTTTCATCACTCGTTTCTGATACAATACTTTAAAATTCACATTAACACAGGGTGATGGGAATCCAGCAATTATTTTAAAGAGAATCTTTTGGAAATTATGGTAAATCTAGTTTTTCATCACACTGTTAAAAATATTTAAGACATTTATTCATTTTCAGAATACTAATACATTTTTTTAGCTATATACGCGCAAAAAAATTATATATTATTGCTTGTGATCACAAAGTCACAGCAACATGTGTTTTTTTACTTTAAGTTGATCAAGTTTTAGGGTTGCATGGTGGCGCAGTGGGTAGCACGTTCGCCTTACAGCAAGAAGGTGGCTGGTTCAAGCCTCGGCTGGGTCAGTTGGCATTTCTATATGGGCGTTTTTCAGTGATTGGTTGCAGCTGGTAAGGCATCCACTGTGTATAATATATACCAGATAAGTTGGTGGTTCATTCCGCTGTGCAACCCCAGATTAATAAAGGGACTGAGCCAAAAAAGAAAATGAATGAATGAATAATCAAGTTTTAACTTTATTTTTTGAATAATACATATATTAACTTGACATTTCAAGTCATTTTAATTATGCAAGCTGAAATTACTTACACCAGGGGTGTCAAACTCAATCCCTGGAGGGCCGCAGCCCTGCACAGTTTAGTTTCAACCCTGCTTCAACACACTAAAGCTGCGGTCACATTAAAGTCTAAGCGTGCGAAATTCTGTCGTGCGGCGCTACTAAAAAGGGCGGGCTTAAACAAGCTTATTAGACATTTTTAAAAGCGAGCGAATTTCTGTAGAGAGGTCATGTGTTGATCCTCGATTGAGGGTGATGCGATTCCGCAAGTCAGGGTTCACCAAGCTTGAACTTTGCACCGCAGCGATCTGTGAAACTTAACGCATGACCCTGCGTTTCCGGTCGGACGCATTCACGTGCATATGAAATGAAGTCTATGGGAGAAAGCCCATTGTGACTGCAGCATTAAGCTCCAACCCTAATTAAACACACCTGATGGACTCAATAAGTTTGATCATGTGTTTTAATTAGGGTTGGAACTAAACTGTGCAGAGCTGCGGCCCTTTAGGAATTGAGTGACATCTCTTACCTACACATTTAATTTTATTAAACTTGGATTCAAAAAATTTAAGCTGAACAAATGACTTCTGCCCTTTCCTTGACATTCTGTTCATCTGAAGCTATGATGCTTCAAATATTTGTCAAAAGATTTTCTTTAAATCACATGGGTTAATCCAAGCAATGTGTCAAATTCTGCACAGTTTAGTTCCAACCCTAATTAAACACACCTGATCAAACTAATTGAGTCCCTCAGGCTTGTTTGAAACCTACAGGCAAGTGTGTCGGAGCAGGGTTGAAACTAAACTGTCCAGGGCTGCAGCCCTCCAGGAACTGAATTTGACACGCCTAGTTTAAATGTTAACAGATATATTTGAACCTTAGGTAGACATTCTACTAATACTCAAATGGACCATCAAAATGAAGTGTCACCGAACCATTTTATAAAAATAAAAAAAATAGGAAAAAGTGTGTTCATGTTTATTTTATAGATTTATTTTTTTATCTTTTTATATATGTGTCTTATTTTTCCTGTCATTTCTGGGTTAAAACCCATGAATTAAAAACCACTAAAAAAGATAAGTGTTTGATGTATTATTAATGATGATGCTTTATTGTCTGTAAAGGAGAAAGCAGAGCTGTGTCAGAAGGTCCAGAGTTTGGGTCTGCAGTTGCAGAGAGAGCAGAGGAGCAAACAGGGCTTCAGTGAACAGATATCTGATCTTCATTCTGAGCTTTCACAAGCTAAGAGCCAAAGCAGCAAACAGAAGATGGACACAATGCAGATGAAAGAGGAGCTGCTTTCAGTTAAAGAGGTCAGAGGTCACCCTTTATACCTATTTATACCCTTTACCAGATATACCAGATATATACTACTAGCCAAACGTTTGGAAAGTCTCCAATTATTTGATTAAAAACTGGAAACAATGAAAACTGTTTTACTGTACTGTGACTTTTATTTAGTTAAATGTAGTTTCAATTGTAGTGCATTTTTGTGGTTTGAAGCTGAATTTTCAGCATGATTAGTTTTCAGTGCCACAAAATCTTTCAAACATTCTTTCTTGTATCATGATCTGCTCAAGACTTTTAAATTTTTATTATTATTATTATTATTATTATTATTATTATGTTAAAAAAAGATTTCAAATAAAAGCGAAATAAAAAATAAAACCTTTTTTTTATCAAAGAATTCTAAAAAAAAAATTTTTTTTTGTATCACAGTTTCCATTAAACTATGAAGCAAGCTTTGAATTACAGGAATAAATAAATTTTGAAACTACATTTAATAAGAAAACAGGTATTTAAAATGGCATAATATTTTACAATTTATCAGTTTTCACTGTTTTTTTGAGCAAACTGGTAGATATACAGTGCTGTGCAAAAGTTCCAAGTGCTATACCAGTAAAGACTTTTGCACAATATATAATCAATCATTCTCTTTAAACAAAAAAAAAAAAAAAAAAGAAAAGAAACTAAAATATAGGAAATATGTATGTAAAAAAACAAAATTTCCTCTTCAAGCAATAGTCTGTGTATACTGTGGCTTAACTGTTTATTCGAATTGTCCGGACATTTTCTGAAATAATGTGTAATGATATCAGGCTTATTTTAGCAAAATTTCCAGAGTTCTTATTTAGATTTAGAGTGTCATATCTTTATTTTCTGTCCAGGTGATCTCATACAGCTTCTATAATATTCAGGTCAGGACTCTGTGAAGGCCATCTCATGATTTATCAGCTGTTTTCTTTCTCCAAATAGGATTTCACTGCAATTAACGTATCTTTATCATGCCGAAAATAAAAACTATTACCATTGAATTCCTTTTCAGAAGGAATAGCGCAATAGATTAAAACTGTTACAACATTAATGAATGAATTTAATCCATTTTGAAATAAGGCTGTAACATAAAAAAATGTGGGAACAGTAAAATGCTAAGAATACTTTCCGAATGCACTGTACAGCCTCTTTGAACATTGAACATCAAATGTTGTCTTTCACATATCTTTAACAAATAATTAAAACTAACATAAACTAGCTCCAATCCTAACAAACCATACATCAACTGTAAGATCATTTATTCACACTGTATAAATCTTAAAAAAACAAAATGGTACACTTATGACTGGTTTTGTGGTAAAGGGTAACATGTCTATTATACCATCAGTAAAACAATAGATTTAATGTTGTTGCCGTAAAACTTTCGCAAGTTGTGTGTGTGTGTGTGTATATGTGTGTATATATATATATATATATATATATATATATATATATATATATATATATATGTGTGTGTGTGTGTGTGTGTGTGTGTGTATATATATATATATATATATATATATATATATATATATATATATATATATATATATATATATATATATATATATATATATACAGTGGGGATCGAAAGTTTGGGCACCCCAGATAAAAATTTGTATTAATGTGCGTAAAGAAGCTAAGGAAAGATGGAAAAATCTCCAAAAAGCATCAAATTATAGATTAGACATTCCTATAATATGTCAAAAAAGTTAGATTTTATTTCCATCATTTACACTTTCAAAATAACAGAAAAAAAATGGTGTCTGCAAAAGTTTGGGTACCCTGCAGAGTTTATATGCTGCACTGCGCCCTTTGGAAAGCTGAGACCTGACAGTGTTATGGATTGTTCTCAATTATCATCTGGAAAGACCAGGTGATGTCAATCTCAAAGGTTTTAAATGCCCAAACTCATCAAACTCATCTGACCTTGGGCCAACAATCAGCATCATGGGTTCTTCTAAGCAGTTGTCTTGAAAACTGAAACTGAAAATAGTTGATGCTCACAAAGAAGGGAGAAGGCTATAAGAAGATAGCAAAGCGTATTCAGATGCCAATATCACCTGTACGGAATGTAATTAAGAAATGGCAGTCATCAGGAACAGTTGAAGTTAAAGCAAGATCTGGAAGACCAAGAAAAATATCAGACAGAACAGCTCGCAGGATTCTGAGAAAAGCAAGTCAAAACCCACGTTTGACGGCACGATCCCTCCAGAAAGATCTGGCATACACTAGAACTGTGGTACACTATTCCACTATAAAGAGATACTTGTACAAATATGGTCTTCATAAAAGAGTCATCAGAAGAAAACCTCTTCTACGTCCTCATCACAAAAAACAGCGTTTGAACTTTGCAAATGAACATATAGACAAGCTTGATACATTTTGAAAACAAGTTCTGTGGACCGATGAGGTTAAAATAGAACTTTTTGGCCGAAATGAGCAAAGGTACGTTTGGAGAAAAAAGGGCACAGAATTTATGAAAAGAACTTTTGTCCAACTGTTAAGCATGGAGGTGGTTCAGTCATGCTTTGGGCTTGTATTGCAGCCAGTGGCACAGGGAACATTTCACGAGTAGAAGGAAAAATGGATTCAATAAAGTTTCAGCAAATTTTGGATGGTAACTTGATGCCATCTGTGAAAAAGCTAAAGAGAGGATGGCTCCTACAAATGGATAATGATCCTAAACACACCTCAAAATCCACAATGGATTACATCAAGAGGTGTAAACTGATGGTTTTGCCATGGCCTTCACAATCTCCTGACCTCAACATTATTGAAAATCTATGGATAGACCTTAAAAGAGCAGTGCATCGCAGACAGCCCAGAAATCTCAAAGAACTAGAAGACTTTTGTGAGAAAGAATGGGCAAAGATACCTTAAACAAGAATTGAAAGACTCTTGGCTGGCTACAAAAAGTGTTTACAAGCTGTTATATTTGCCAAAGGGGGCAGTACAAGATATTAATTTTGCAGGGTGCCCAAACTTTTGCAGACGCCATTTTTTTGTTTTCTGTTATTTTGAAAGTGTAAATGATGGAAATAAAATCTAACTTTTTTGACATATTAATAGAATGTATAATCTGTAATTTGATGCCTTCTGGAGATTTTTCCATCTTTCCTTGGCTTCTTTATGCACATTAATACAAAATTTTACCTGGGGTGCCCAAACTTTCGATCCCCACTATATATAGTACGTTTTAGAACAAAGCTTTTGAAAACCTTTAAAAAAATCTTGCACTGTGCAAGTATGTTCTAAAAACAATAATGTGTTCAGCTTCCAAAAAAGATCAGATGTGCTCCAACATTAGGCACATTCAAATCAAGACTGAAAACACATCTGTCTAACTGTGCCTCGAAGCTGTGCCTTCAGTGCACTGATTGAGCTCTGTGCTCCTCTGTCTTTCTTTTCTTTATTCATTCTTTAATAACCTGTTTTTAACACATTTCAATCGTAATCCTATTTACTATTTGTTTTTATTTTCTTATACTTGTCTCTTTTATTCCTGTTTATGTAAAGCACTTTGAATCGCCACTGTGTATGAAATGTGCTATATAAATAAACTTGCCTTGCCTCTAAAGTACATGTATTTTTAAATATTTTGGGTCTTCAGTTGAAAGCAAAGCTTTCATCTGACCTAACCAAGGCCACAGAGAGACTACAGGTGACCCTTAACCAGTTACACGAGCTGGAGGCGGAGAAACTAATCCAAACCAATCAGATTACAGCGCTGGAGACTGAACGCTTGCAGCTGATTGGAGAGAAGGAGGAGCTAAGGAAAACATTTGATGATGGTCTTCATGGAAAAATTAAGCAGCTGGGAGAGAGATGCTGCCAACTCAAGTATGAATAAACAAATATTACATAATATATAGATTGTTTAATTCTATTTCTAATCTGGGTTATTCCCGTCTCAAATAAAGGAAACAGCGGGACAATCTGGAGCAAGAAAATCAGCGTCTGCAATTCAAATGTAAAGAACTGGAACAAAAAATAGAAAGCCTGGAGGCGGGGCAGCAACACAAAAAAGAGGAAGAGCATCATATGAGGGCGGAGTTTGAGCGGGAGAAGGAGGAGTTAAAGAAAGTGGCAGCTCACTGGAACGAGAGATGGCTGGATGTGGCGATGACGTTATGCTCAACTCAGGAAGAACTAGATGTGCTCAAAAGTCAACAGCAAGAGAAAGACGGAGTATGTTTTTGATTTAATCATTTGGGAAGTGTGTGGTCTTACTGTGTTTTACAAAGGACCACTAGCAAGGTCTGGAATTTTATTAAAAGTAAAGATTTCCCACTCTTTCCTAATGTTGGGATCAGACGGAAGGCAATACAAAAGATTGTATTCCATTACTTAGAGTCATCCTTATCGTTTGGCTTGTTGCCTTTATTTTTGTTTACCTGTTGAATACATGAAATGGTAGGCGGAGCTAAACTGTGATGTAGAAGTTGGTATTGATCATCTGTGGAACCGTATTTAGCCACAATCTCAGGTAGTTTCAGATCAAGTTTAATTTTTAATATTTTGGAAGCCATTAGCCACTGACATCCAAAGTAAGAAAAATAAAACTGTCTTACAGCAAGAGGCTGATGTATATATGTGTGTGTTTATAAATTTATAATGCATTTAAAGGTGGTTCTTTCATAATGTCAGTTTGTAACAATGTAAATACTGTTAATGCTCAAACTTTCTTCATAGGTGTCTTGTGAAGACCTGAATGGAGAGCTGGAGGAGGAGCTACTTAGGTTGAGAGACATGCTGAAGGTCAGAGATGTTGAGCTGCAGTCTGTTCTCAATCAGGTGAGGCCAGCAAACCTGACCTGAGATCTGTGAAATCCTGAAGAAGGACGGACATCAGATTTTTTCCCCCATGTTTTTCAGGAGTCACAACAGAGTGATAAAGTCCAGAAGCTGGAGAAGCTGCTCTCAAAGAAGGAAAAGGAATTGATGGAAAAGTATGTACAGCTTACTGATAATCAATCATTGTTATAATAAAATAAGCTATAAATATATAGGATATTAAAGAATAAACTATCTATCTATCTATCTATCTATCTATCTATCTATCTATCTATCTATCTATCTATCTATCTATCTATCTATCTATCTGTATTCATAATATCTTAATAAATATCAGTCAAAGATAATATAAGTGTTTACCCTACTCTTAAAACAAAACTTAACTCTGGTTCATCACATATGAGTTTAGTTTCTCTGGCCACATCCAGGCCTGATTACTGCCACACCTGTTCGCAATCAAGAAATCGCTTCACTTAAAAAGGAATTGTCTGACAAAATGAAATAGACCAAAAAATCCTCAAAAGCTAGACATCAGGCTGAGATATAAAGAAGTTCCAAAACAAACGAGAAAGAAAATAACTGAGGTCTACCAGTCTGAAAAAGGTTATAAACTCATTTCTAAAGCTTTGGAACTGCAGCAAACCCAACACAATCTCACAGCAATTTGTAACGTTTTGATTTAGTGGCTAATTTGTACAGTCCAATTCGTACAATTTAGTATGTTTTGCTTATCCCCCAATGATGGTTGGGTTTAGGGGTGGGGTTGGGTTCCATGTCTCCTTTTTAAAATTGTACCTTTTTGTATGACTAAACACATACAAATTCATATGAATTCGCTATTAAACTGACAAAACATACATTTCTTGCGTTTCCTCATGAGATCAGGCTGGCAAACCACAGTGAGTCATTATCTACAAATAGCAAAAACATGGAATAGTGAAGAACCACTCCTTCTCCAGGAAATTTGATATGTAGGCTGAAGTAAGAGATGGAGTGCTATCCTGCTGAAGAATTTGCCCTCATCTGTGGTTTGTAATGTTATGGGCCAACAGTTGTCTTGATACCTAAGGCTGTTGATATTGCCATCCACTCCCCCATACTGAATATACCCTAAAATCATGATTTTTTTCTTCACCAAACTTGACTGATTTCCGTGAGAATCGTGGATTTAATAGGTTTTCTGTAGTATTTGTGATGATTGGAATACAGTTCAACAGATGATGATTCATTGGAAAAAATCTACCTGCAGACACTTTTCCAAATGATCATCTAGAAGTCAAGATATTATTTGTTATCTCTTACAACTTTAATCAACGACAAAACTTTTGTCAGGTAGTGACAGTAAAACAGATAATTGTTCACTGTTTTTTGCATTGCTACCACAGAGATCAAGATCTGAAGAACCTGGAGACACAGAGGATAACAGAGAAAACAGAGGCTCAGATCAAGATATCAGCCCTGGAGCAAGAGGTACAACAATGTCCATGACGTTAAAAGTTTCTCATGGCAGATCAGACTCTTATGATGTGGGTTCAGTGTTCAGCTCTGACTCTTTACCTCGGGCAGATTTTAGGACATAAAAGACATTCAGGACAGGAAGTGGTCAAGGAATCTAGTCCTGAGTCACTGTCGGCCCTGTTGGAAGGTATGCTCTCATGCTATGACTAAGTAAAGCCTGTTTTTGTTTTCCTTACAGTTACATGAACACAAAAGATTCTACTTAATCCTCCTGTCATGTTCCCATCACACCCCTTACTTTAGTGTTGCCGGTCAAAATTGACCGCTCAGTTTTTACTGCTTTTAAATTAGCACGAAAAACATTTTTCACCACCAAATTTTTAATCAACATCATTTAACTGTGAACAATGTCTTAAAGTGGTGTTTAACATGAATTTATAGAATTAGACATAAAATAACTGCAGTGAAAATACAAATAGGCACTGAAAATGCATTACAAAATGAACAATAGATGACAGAAATCAAAATACTTTGCTTTGTTACCAATAAACAGCTTGCTAAAATAACTATCACAGCGTCTGACCAAAGAGATTGAAATTTAAACCCATTTGAATGATTTTTCAACCAGCAAAGCACCAACAAACGGTATACATTCCTGTGTATTGAGTGCTCAAACTTTCATTTAGTCCTTCAATTGCACTATATTAGTGTACTAATGTAGGGAATAGTGAATAAGTGTGTAGACGGTGATTAAGGACACAGCACTAGCGCTAGTTATACTCTGGCCATTTTTGAGTGAGATGCTAATGGTCTAATCCAATGAAAACATTTATGCTAAGCTAAGCTAAAAGTGCTGCTAGACCTAGAGATTGGTATAAATTTGAACAGTCTGAGGAGTGAATATGGGCTGGATACTCATTTATTTCCTATGGTGGTCACTTTTGACCGGAAACACCACAGGTGTAACAAAGTTGATTAAAACACTCAAAATTCAATGAAAGAGGTGATCATCACTTCTATATGTTTAAGTGCATAATGTGGAGGATATATTAGAGTCTCATGGCAATCAGATGTAAAACACAATATTTATCAGTGTTTTCAGTTGGAAATCGGTCAGATTTGAACCGAACACAACAGGAAGGTTAAACAAGCTCAGTTGTTGAGTTCAGATATTTATCAGAATTCAAAATACAACATAAGTCATTAGTATGTGGATGAAGACTTGCATATGCAAGCTGGGAAACGCAGTCTTAGACATGCAATCTCAGACTCAGTGCACTCCATCGAGCGAGTGACATCACTGTGAGGGGTAGGGTTAGGGTTGGGGTTAGGTGTATGCATTAAAAGCATTACTTGCAGCTGCACCTGGTCTGCATCCAGACCTCCTTGGACAAATAGGCATTTGCACTATGTACTTTATAGCTGTATTTAAATTCTGCCCATGGAGGCAGATTTTCAACACAGAGAAACTTCAAGCAAAGTCACATCCAAATTATGCTTTACTTCCTGTCTCATAGCTACCCTCTTCTGCTCGAATTTCAAAGGAAGCGTATTCTGTCCTTCTGTGCTTTTGTCCATTTCTGTCAGTTTAACTAAAACATAACCATGATATCTTGAAGTGTTGCTTGGGTTTCGTTTTGTGTACATATACATCTATGATCAATATTTATCATTTTTGTTGACATTTAGAAGACAGATGTTAGAATTGCAGCAAGCACATATTCCCTTAATCATAACCAAAGCTTTTATTATTTAGTTGTACATGATTAAATCTTTGTTGTCTCAGAGGTCTCCCTGAAATCAGTTTTGCAAGGTGACTTCATGCGAAAATACTGTCTCCATATCGCCTGATGGGGTAACAAGTCAGCTGCCTCAGCTTTTGATTGCAGCCCATATTACCTCAAACCAGAAAAGGTTAGGACAGTATGGAAAACGCAAATAAAAAAGTGATTTCTAAATTTACTTTGACTTGTATTTCATTGCAGACAATAGAACAAACATTATTTAATTCACTCCTCTTGATTTTTATTGTTTTTATTGTAAAATAAACATTCCAATTTTGGTTCTTGCAACAAATTTCAAATAAATTTGGAACAGTAAAGCATTTACCATTTTATAATGTTGCCATTAGTGATGGGAAGTTCGGATCATTTTACTGACTCTGATCTTTGAGTCTTGTTTATCAAGATGAACAAATCTTTTTTCGAGTCATTTCGTTCATTTGGTTCATTTTGCCAAAATATTATTAAAATGTTACGAATTGCTTCCAAACACATCTACAACTAGTCCAAAAGGTTGATTGCACGACAAATAAGTCATAAATAGAATATAAGAAGGAGAAAATAATAATTCAATGTTGACCTGCTGTTTTGTCTATGAAGGTATTGTTCTCTCTTTGCTCAACTCACCTCTTCATGTCTTCAAATGTCAGGGGTTCATTCACGTTACAATGACAGTCACATATAATCTTAATCAATGCACAGTCTAAGCCGATAGGAGCCATGACCGTTCGTTCATCACATGACAGAATGACTCAAATCCGAGGACTCGAGAGATGAATGGTTCAATTCTTTTTCCGGCTCTAAACGCCTATGATTGGCTCGTGTTGAACGAGTGACTCAGACCCGATAGAGGACTCGAGAGGTGAGCGGATCAATGCTTTTTCCGGCTCTAAACGCGTATGATTGGCTTCTGCCAATGTGATGAATACTTGTAATTAACGATACTACCTGCACAAATTTGCGCACCCGCAAATGAACGAATCACTCCCTGAGAGGACTCGTAGTTCCCGAGTCATATTGAAGATTCGTTCAAAATGATTGAATTGTTCATGAACGACCCATCACTAGTTGCCATTCCTTTTCATAACACCTAAAATATGTTTAGAGACTGAAGGCACCAATTGATGAAGTCTTTCAGGTGTAATTTTGTCTCATTCTTCCTGCGAACAATCATTAAGGTCGGCATAGTAAGGGGTCTTCATGTCACATTTTGAATTTCAAAATGCACCACACATTCTCTATTGGAGACAGGTTGGGACTGCAGACAGGCCAGGCCAGGACTTTGCAATGTGTGAGGAATGTGGTTTTGCATTGCCTTGATGAAATATGCATGGGTGTCCCTGGAAGAGAAGCCAGCATATTGTGCTCCAAAATCCCTATGTACTTTTCAGCATTAATGGTGCCATCACAGACGTGCAAGTTACCTTTGCCGAGGGCACTGACACAACCCCATTCCATGACAGAACCTGGCTTTTAGACTTGTTGCTGGAAACAGTCTGGACGATCCTTTTCTTTTAGAGCACAAGGTGTCCATTTCTCTCCAAAAATTCCTGAAATGCTGATTCATCTGACCACAGTACACTTTTCCACTGTGTGTTGGTCCATGCCAGACACCTCTGAGCCTACAGAGGTCAACGGTGCTTCTGAACACTGTTAACATAGAGCTTAATTTAGACACAATGCAGTTTTGACTGGCATTTGAGGATTTTACAACATATTGTGGTACTTGGGCGAAGCAGTGGCGCAGTAGGTAGTGCTGTCGCCTCACATCAAGAAATGTCACTAGTTCGAGCCTCGGCTCAGTTGGCGTTTCTGTGTGGAGTTTGCATGTTCTCTCTGCGTTCCCCTGAGTTTCCTCCAGGTGTTCCGGTTTCCCCCACAGTACAAAGAGGTAGGCTAAATTGTCCGTAGTGTATTAGTGTATGTGTGTGTGTGGATGTTTCCCAGAGAAGGGTTGCGGCTGGAAGGGCATCCGCTGCAAAAAAACTTGCTGGATAAGTTGGTGGTTAATTCAGCAGTGGCAGCCCTGGATTAATAAAGGGACTAAGCCGACAAGAAAATGAATGAATGATTGTGGTACTTAACAAAGGTTTGCCAAAGCAGTCCTGGGCTCATGCAGTGACATCGCTTATAGATATGATGATTTTTGTTATATTTTGTTTTGTTTGCTGGTTCGAGCCTCTGCGGAGTCAGTTGGCATTTCTGTGTGGAGTTTGCATGTTCTCCCCATGTACGCGTGGGTTTCCTTCGGGTGCAGGTGAATTGGGTATGCTAAAATTGACCGTAGTGTATGAGTGTGTGTGAATGAGCGTGTATGGATGTTTCCCAGTGATGGGTTGCGGCTGGAAGGACGTCCGCTGAGCTGGATAAGTTGGCGGTTCATTCCACTGTGGCGACCCTTGATTAATAAAGGGACTAAGCCAAAAAGAAAATGAATGAATGAAGACTAAATGCAATGGATGCAATCATAACATAGCCATGTAATAAAAACATAAGGTAATAATCCCAAACTACTTTGATGACAGACATTGACTACAGGATTTTTAATGACCAAAACAGCATTTCTGATGTTGTGTCATGTGGTTCTAGGCATTCTTGGAGAATCAGATTATGTGGTTCTAATTCCTTTAAGTTCTTATAACTTCCAGGTATGATATCACTTTTGACATGGGTCAAAGTCCTCAGACAATACTCTGAAGAAGGAGCAAATTAAGTCCGGGCCCCTCAATAGTTCTAGGAATTCTGAAAAATGTTTCTCCAAAGGTGAAATCTCCTATGGAACCTTATAATTCCAATGATATAAACAGCTCTGATTAGAATGCCACATATTTTGAAATGATAAAATGCAGCATAAAACTATGCACACTTCAGAGTTGTGCCAAAATTATAAAGTCATTCATGTACATTTTAGGAAAATTATAAAATTGGTATAGTACTGAGTATACTACATGGTATCGAGACATAGTCAGATAAAAAGATTGAAAGTTGGAATGAAATCAAACTCTACTTTTAAAAGTATCGTAGTGTTTATAAACGATATATCCAGCTTGATCTTACTAAGAAACGCAAGTATTTTATTATCAGTTTATGTCAGTTAAGTAGCTAATTTGTTCAGTCGTATGAAAATGTAAGATTTTAAAAAGGAGGCGTGCCACCTAACACCACCCCTAACCCCAACCATCATTAGGTGACGAGAAAATCATACAAAATTGTACTAAATGACGTACTAAATTAGATTGTACGAATTCATACTTATTAACCACTAAATCAAAAAGTTATGAATTGCCGTGAGATTGCGTTGATATATCTGTGCACGTTGTTCTTTTGCAAAAAGTTCATTTACCCTCAAATTTTTCATTCATTCATTCATTCATTCATTTTCATGTCGGCTTAGTCTCTTTATTAATCCGGGGTCACCACAGCGGAATTAACCACCAACTTATCCAGCAAGTTTTTACGCAGCGAATGCCCTTCCAGCCGCAACCCATCTCTGGGAAACATCCACACACACACTCATACACTAGGGACAATTTAGCCTACCCAATTCACCTGTACCACATGTCTTTGGGTACCAGAGCACCCGGAGGAAACCCACGCGAAGGCAGGGAGAACATGCAAACTCCACACAGAAACACCAACTAAGCCGAGGTTCGAACCAGCGACCCAGCGACCTTTTTGCTGTGAGGCGACAGAACTACTTACTGTGCCACTGCCTCGCCCCTCAAAAAAATTTTTTTATCAAATACCATAACCTTCCTTGCGTCCTTAAAATTACTTTTCTTTACGTCTGGTCACATGTAATGCCTTTCTGTAGGCATGTCTCATTTCTGCCCTGCTTTTGTTCATTCGTCAGTTTTCCTTCATTTTGTTAGCAGCGCCTATCTTCCAAAGATCGAATCATCCAATCAAGGACAAAAACAGGTACCACTCTTTAGTTGTTTTCTTAATTTTGGACCGTTTTAATCAAATGTATGTCACGAATCACCATATTGAAAAAAAAAGACAATCTTAACTTCCCTTTCATGGCAACTTTAAAATCCCAGCTACTTTTGGTAGCTCTATCACCCCCTTCAGTACTGGAGGTGTGTTCCCACCAAAACAACCCAGTGCCAGAATGTGCTTTGAATGTGCTAGCTAAGCATTCATTCATTCATTTTCCTTCGGCTTACTTTTATTCATCAGTGGATCCACCAACTTATCCAGCTTATGTTTTACACAGCGGATGCCCTTCCAGCTGCAACCTAGTACAGGGAAACACTCATACACACTCATTCACATATACACTGACCAATTTTAGCTTATTCAACTCACCTATAGCGCATGTCTTTAGACTGCGGGGAAAACCGGAGCACCCAGAGGAAACCCACGCAAACACGGTGAGGACATGCAAAATTAACACAATAATGCCAACTGACCCAGCAGGGACTCGAACCAGTGACCTTCTTACTGTGAGGCGATTTTGCTAACCACTAAGCCACCATGTCGCAGCTAGCTAAGCATTCATGAGTATATTTCTGCAGCTTAGCTTGTTTTTATGTCATGGTCCTAGAAAGCAGGAGGCGAGCAGAAAGGCGTGAACAAGAAAGAGACCAGGCCTTACAAAAACTGTGCGATCTTACAGGTTCCCAGGTACTATCTTTGTTTGCAAATGCACATTATTGTTATCATTGATTGATATTCAGCACCTTTAAATACATTTATTTTTTTACCAGAGTAAAGAATGTCTTCGAGAAATCCTAAAACAGAAACCTGCCCAGCCCCCTTCAGACCTTGCAATTGATCCCAATACACAAAGGAGGCTGGTCACTGAGCAGGTGCTACACACACAGTAAAACAGCTTTCATCAGGCATGTGTAATACTACTTACTATTTTAATTTCCTGTCTGTGCTTGTTTACATCTGTTTTCTGTACTACAGCTGAAAAGTCTGTTCAGAGAGAGAGAGCAGTGTGGAGAAAGGTCAGTAGTGCACCATTAACACCCTGTCAGTTGTCAGTCAATCTGATTCATTATCTTCCCCCCAAGGCAGGATTATTTTCTCTGCTTCTTATATAAAAACGAGACATCGGGGAAATTCCAGACGCGGAGGCCCCATCACTCTCCCTTCCCCCACTTCTCCAGTTCCTGACTGAAAATCTGTGGAAAAATCAGTAAGGAGGCTCGCCAAATCCACAGTTTTCCCACAGAGCTGGACTACTTTAAACCATTTGCTGCAGGTTGTTTTTTATTCTGCAGGTTAAAGTTTTGACATTTATTTATTTTCTTTTCGGCTTAGTCCCTTTATTAATTTGGGGTCGCCACAGTGGAATGAACCGCCAAGTTTTGACATATTGTATCAATTATATTTAAATGGTGAAATATTTAACTCTACCAAATTTATTTTAAAATCAATAATCAAAAATGTGCTTGAATAATTTTTATATATTTTTATATAATATATTATATAATATAAATATATAGAATATATTTTTAATAATCTAACACCATAATCTACTAAAATAAGGTTATTTTGAAAGAAAAAAACATGATGTAAAATGTGTTTGCTAAAAAGTGTTGGCATATTTTGAGTTTTGATGTTAGTTTTATTGGTCATTTGGCTAGTTTGTTGCAAAAACCTGGCAACCCTGTAAGTAAGTGTTCCACTAAATGGATGGTCAGACACATTGACTGTACACGTTATTGAGTGAGATCAGTCAAGGTGCATCAAACTGCTGTTATCGATCATTGCATGCGACAAACTGAAGCAAATCAATGCAGCTGCAAGTTTCTGAAACCACAAAGGAAAGGATAGTTTTAAGGAGTTTGGAAATTTAGATTATATGTTTGTGTTCTAGATATTTACACAGATTTATTTCTGAGGGGTTTATATATGACATGATATTCAATATAAATCGTTTTTTTTTTATATATCTCATGGATATAGGCAATATATTGGTACATTTAAAGTTTATTTAAAAGATTTACTCATTAAAGAGCCCCTATTATGCATTTTCAAAGGTCATATTTTGGTATTGGGTGTCTCCAACAACAGACAGATATGTATGCAAGGTCAAAAAAATGACAGAGGATTGCGAGTTCAGAAAATCATTTAAATCGGTAAAGGAATAAGCACACGTCGTGTTTTCAATGTGGTTTTGGACGCAATATTTGAATAGCCTATAAAGATTTAGTCTGAGATATACAGTACAAGCACTGATCTATAACAGACAAGTAATTACAAGTCACATGGAGCAACACACGATTAAATACGTAGTTTGCAAACTACAGATAAAGAGGCAACTATTTTAATTACACTTACATGTTATGATCTGGAGAAAGAAGAAACTGGCCCATATGAACTGCCTGTCAAAGTCTGACAAAGTCCCATACTTAACAGTCTCTGCTGCTCCTTCCTTTAATAGCAAACGGCTGACGAGTCCCACGTTGCAGTGCAAGTTATTGTTTAAAAAATCAAAAAATGATTGGAACAAAAACAGCAACAGATTGGTTATACTGTTGTAGTGTTGTGAAAATGAACTTTAACAGTTTATTCCCCACAGCCGAATCTCCATCTGTCAGTGATCGTCATCTTTGTGTCATGATCAGTCTCATGATCCCTCGTACTCCGTTAGTGTCTGAAGGGAAAGGCACGTTCATGTTTTACCGGATCAGGCACTTCATTTGGTGATGTACCCTATTGATGTCGATGCATTTAGACAAAAGATCCGCTTCCAACTCGATTTATTTATTAGACTCTGAGTCAACGATTTCATTATAGAATCAATAGTTTTAAGCACAGTGCACTTTTAGATTTAAACCTCAGCTGGATGTTTTCATTTGCTTAGTGCTGTTACACACTGCATGGAAGCTTATTTTTAAAAACCCATCATAGGCTCTCTTTAAAATGACAGTGTGGTCACCTAAAATCTTTTGGAACAGAGCAATAAGGATACGATTTTTAGGAACAGAAGATAAATTCAAATTTAAATGTAATTCCAAATTACAATTAAATAACACATTTCCCCCATTTGATAGTTTCTCGTGACATATTAATATGGTGTACAAATCTTTCATCTTTGGTTACGTTAAATTAAATTAATTTTAGTTTTGGTTTTGGTTCTAGTCAATGTAATGCACAATTAACTTTTTTGTATTGAATCCTATGGAAAGTGTTCATTTTAAGAGAGATCTGAAAAGGGTGTACTAATTCACAAGGAAACATATCTATGTAGGCCCACTATACTGTCAGACAAGTGGCTAATTCCGACAAAATATTTATGATTTCATTTTATTAATACAATTATTTAAAAAGAGGTGTGCCCCTAAACCTACCCCTCATTGAGGGATGAGCAAATCATAGTAAAATACTAATGCGATTGTACAAAATGGTTGTTGGTGACAGACAGGCTGGTCTGAGTAATTCGGAAACTGCTGATCTACTGAGATTTTCATGAACAACTATCTCTAGGGTTTACAGTGAATGGTCTGAAAAAGAGAAAATATCCAGTGAGAGTCTGTTCTGTGGGTGCAAATGCCTTCTTGATGCCAGAGCTAAGAGAAGAATGGCCAGACTGGTACGAGCTGATATAAAGGCAACTGTAACTCAAATAACCACTTGTTACAACTGAGGTATGCAGAAGAGCTACAGTTCACACAAGCTCACCAAAACTGACCAATAAAACGTTGCCTGGTCTGATGAGTCTCAATTTCTGCTGTGACATTCAGATGGTAGGGTCAGAATTTTTCATCAACAACATGAAAGCATAAATCCATCCTGCCTTGTTTCAACAGTTCAGGCTGGTGGTGGTGGTGTAATGTTTTGGGGGATATTTTCTTGGCACACTTTGGGTCCATTAGTACCAATTGAGCATTGCGTCAACGCCACAGCCCACCTGAGTATTGTTGCTGACCATGTCCATCCCTTCATGACCACAGTGTACCCATCTTCTGATGGCATTCCAGCAGGAAAACACACCATGTCATAAAGCGCAAATCATCTCAGACTGGTTTCTTGAACATGACAATGAGTTCACTGTACTCAAATGACCTCCACAGTCACCAGATCTCAATCCAATAGAGCATGTGGTAGAATGAGGGATTCACATCATGGATGTGCAGCCGACAAATCTGCATTAACTGCATGATGCTATAATGTAAATAAGGAGCAAAATCTGAGAAATATGTCCAGTACCTTGTTGAATGCCATGAAGGCAGAAGCCATGATTAAGGCAGTTCTGAAGACTAAAAGGGATCCAACCCAGTACTAATAAGGTGTACCTAATAATTTGGCCAGTGTGTATATATAAAAGTCAAACTCTTTGTTTCTAAATTGATATAATCGATATAAATCAAGATATTGTTTTTATTCAGGTAGTTTACATTTAACATTTTGTTTACTTTTTTTGTATTTTAGTTTAAGCTTTTGTTAATGATAATAACCTTCCTCCCAACTCTCCCTCAACGGATTAGTGAATGGTGTGAACCCTGGCTCAGGAAGAGGAGTGGGGGTGGGAATACTGGAATTTTCCCAATGTCATAATTCACATTTGACATGTGGCGACGTTAAAACTGTCTTGGAAAAGAAGCTATGAATCAAATCTTATTGACATTTGACAGAAAACATTTATGTATGTGAAATGTGTTCTATTCAGATCTTCAGTGTTCCCAAGAAGACCTTACTTGGCTGATAATTTGGTCCAAAATGCTTCAGATATTAAGGTAAACAAGCACATTTGTCGTTTTTTAGGCCATAAATCGGGATGTCTTTTGATACGGAAATTGATAACAGCTGTGTGACACATTTAGAACTGGAATGCTGTTGACGTGAACCATCAGGGAAGAGAAACGCAGACACCGGAGCAAGATCCCCAACAGAGGGCAGCAAAACCATGTCCATCCCAGATCTCAGACGGAGGATCAGACAGGTCTGCAGGAGGGGTGGAGGATAAACAGCCAATCAGCGTCAAGCATTCCAGCAAGACTGCCCAGGTATGGTGAGAATCTGCGCTGCCGATCTTAGTTTGATAGCATTTTTGATTGGCTTATGGTGCTCTTCTAATTCAAGCTCAACTAAAAATTAATTGATTTTAATCTTTGAGTAAAGTTTAACAGAACAACTCACAAATCACATCATAGACTCTAATTATAGTGTCCTGATCTCACATTTTATGTTAATCAAAGAGCATGCTGGGGTGGAGGGTCACATAAGATGCTTTTAGTTACCTTTTGTTTCTCACAATGCTAATTTGACTTTTTTTTGTTTAAAATCCAATTTTAATCATTTATTTTTGTTGCTTTTTTTGTGACTCAGATATAGAAGATACGGAAGGGTCCACTTGAAGAATGGAGGGGGATCAACTGCTGAAGTGAAGATCATCCATTGTGAAGAAGACAACTTTGCTAAATGCACCTTTATTCCTGTTCTCCTAAGTTGAACTGCACAGCTAAGCTAAGCTAATTTTCTTTGTTGTTTAACTTTCAAGTGACTGCTCCAGCTGTGAGATACAGTTCAGATACAAAACACCAACATGATTTCAGATGAAATTCTACATTTATTAGTTTCTAAAACAATCACTTTTTCATAAATAGATTGTTTGAATCTGATGATATATTATTTACATTATGTGTGGCACGGTGGAAATCGCTGTCACCTCACAGCAAGAAGGTCACTGGTTCGAGGCTAGGTCAGTTCCCACACAGAAAAAACCTATAAAAACACATATGTTTTATTATAGGTTTTGATATAGGTTTTTCATATATGTGCCAAAATTGGGCGTTTTCCTATATTATATTTACATATATACATGTATAATTGCACACATGTTCACCTATATGTTAGTAAAATTATTAAAATCCATAGCTGCTTGACAACATAAATAAAATCTTTTTTTTTTACATTTTATTTATTTAAGAACAATCGAATAGTACAAGAAAAAAAATCTAGCACAAGAACAAAAATAAGGCAAAAACCAACAATTAAGGAAAGAAAACAAAATAATAAAAAAAAAAACGACACACCATTTTGTTACACTTCTTTTCCACTATCTTTATACAAGAAAGAATTTACCTTGTAAATGTTTCAGGAAAACATGTAGACATAGCTTTCCATCTCCTCTCACTTATTTGCCCTAGTTAAATTAGTTAGTTCTTAGTTATTGCCTTGATAATAGAAAATATGAGCTAGGCAAGGCATCATGCATGACAGTTGCCAAAGTGAGCTATATAGGAGACATTTTGTATGTACATATAGGGCTTATGTGTGGATATGAAGAAGCAATACAGGAAACCTACATGACCTGTATATGCACATATATGCACCTCATTTTTTTCCAATTTGTGGCGTATATACACATAAATACAGCATATAGGTTTCATATATGCGCATTCATCCTCATATAGGTTCTTTCCATGTGGGTTGGCATTTCTGTGTAGAGTTTGCATGTTGTCCCCGTGTTCGTGTGGGTTTCCTCCGAGTGCTCCGTTTTCCCCCATAAGTCCAAAGACATGCGCTATAGGTGAATTTGATAAGCTAAATTCTGTAGTGTATGTATGCGAATGAGTGTGTATATGGGTGTTTCCCAGTGTTGGGTTGCAGCTGGAAGGATAGCCACTGCATAAAACATGCTGGATAAGTTGGCAGTTTATTCTGCTCTAGTGACCCCAGATTAATAAAGGGAATAACACAAAAGAAAATAAATGAATGAACAAATTGCATTAAATGTGATATACGAGTAATCTAGATATATTATTTACAGATTAATTTCAAATTTACATGTCAGTTTTGAACTAAAACACAAGTTTTGGCTGCTTATTATAAGATATAACTCAAACTTTTAAAAGTGATTTCAATGTGAGTCAATAGCCCCTTTCACACATACAGAAGGTTGTATGTGTGAACAGGTCCTTTTTGAAAATACCGGTAAATTCGTTCTGGCTATTTTCCAGAAAGAGAAGTTGTAACATTACCGGCAATTTGCCGGAATGCTGCGCTGTGTGAATGCAGAAGGAAGATTGCCGTAATAAGCGCGTGCACGTCTAGAACGTGCTGACGTGAGACGTCTACTTTAGCCAATCACAACAGTCAGACGCATTTACGTCCGCGCGGTTTGTGAGAATAAAAACCTTTGAATATTTTTCCAGACACATTTAGCTGCTAGAAGTTAGTCAGATCAGTTTATATGTTCTTCTTAATGCCAACTGTGTGAATAATCATCAATGAGATGCTTATGATAAGCCGTTGTTTGTTTACCTTCAAGCTTTGCGTGTGCCTGTGAAACAGCCTGTGAGCGCCTGCACACACACATATTATGAACATCTCGACATGCGAAAGTGATCCTGCGAAAGTTGTTCACAATATTGATCATCCACAGAGTTTGTAATTTAGTCAAATGTTTACAAATACAAGCGCAGCCGTTTAAAGCTCATTTGTGGTGAATGATGTCAGAATTTACCGGTATTTTGGAATGGATGTGTGAATGCTCTTTTCCGGAAAATTTCCGTAACGTCCTCGCCTGTGTGAACAGCGCTTTTTTGAATATACCGGTAAAGTCGTTCCGGAAATTTTCCGGATATTTACCGGTATCACTGTGTGAAAGGGGCTATTGTCATCTCCATGAACGTGATGGAAAATGGTGGTGCCATCAAATGCATATTTTATGTTCAGTCTATAGTCATAAAGAGCCGTCACAACTGGAGATATCCATCTGGTTATTCCACATTAAAAAGAAAACAATGCAGAACAGGTTACATCTACATCTTACATAAAACACAGTAAATCTCCTACAGTATTGGAATTCCATAGTAGGGAAAACAAATACCATGGAAGTCAATGGTTACAGGTTTCCATTTTTTTTCTAAATATCTTTCTTTTATCACATTTTTTCCCAGCGATTGGTTGCCGTCCTGCCATTTTTCGCTTGACATTTGCATAAAGTCAGGAAATGGCCAACCTTTCTGATGTTCTCGGTTGCTTTTAATACATTCAGTCCCATAATGTCAACCGACTCCGTTTGGGCATTAAAGGGCACCTATGGTGAAAAATCTACTTTTCAAGCTGTTTAGACAGACATTTTTGTAAGTATAGTGTATAGACCGTCATATTGGGGTGATATAAACACACACTCCTTTTTTTTTTTTCAATTTAACAACATAAAAACGGTGGACCAAATTGAGCGGTTTTCAAAGCAACCGCGACTTGATGTAGGAGTGCGGTTCCCCCGCCCACGGAATTGATTGACAGGTACGCGTCACCTAATCCTCAGTTTGTTGTTTCACGTCCGCCATATTTAGCGTGAGTCAAAGCGATGTCACTAAAGGAGCACCTTGCTCTATTTTTAGATGTAAGGCTCATTGTGCTCAACACAAGATCAACATTCACCACATGATTGCTGTAATCTGAATTATTGTTTGTAACTTAAGGTAGGTTTGCAAACATGTGTACTTTTCATTGCGTCTACAGTAAAACTGTAAAAACATTTCTCACAAGTGATCTTCTTCCTGTGATCTTAACTAGGTGCAGCTGGAAAGTGCGAGCGCGTTGCCTCAGGTGCGCGTCTCTCCATTGGAAATAAAATAACGAACTCGCCTGCAGGTCGCACACCAGAAGCACTGTCGCGCCATGCAGCGCCATGCATTTTAGAATTCTAAACATAGGTTTTTATCAGGGTACACACACCGGCGCTTTAAGTTGGCAGCTGTCACAGCCACAATTCGGGACACTTCATGTTTCTGCCGCGCCACAGAGCACCATCTAAATAGTTTCATTTTAAATAACATGCGAATGTGCGTGTCTGAGTGTGCCGTGTCACAGCTCCGGTGTCTCAGTCGAAGTTAATTCAGTGTGCGTGGGTATTAGTCTCTGTGTACAAGCTTGGAACTTTAAAGGGCCATGAAACCCCCTCGTTTCAGCAGGGCGTTTTCACACCTCTACTTTGGAAAAAGCCAAAAAAGTGGGCGTGTCCAGCTCTGTTAAGGGGGAGTGTCGAAGGAGCAAAAGAGGGATGGTGTGGGAGTGTCTATTTGACCACGTGCTGAGTTTCAGAGTCAAAACACATACACACACACAGGGGAGGAAAGTTTGGTTGTGGTGCTAACATGTTTACACTCATGTGGTGCAATAGTTAGTTTGATACGAACAAACTGAATAAACAAAGAGCACTGGTCGCTCACTTACCAAATCTGTAGAGACAGGACAATCCACAGCAACTAAAACCACGTCTTTATTAAGAGGAGGAGAGAAGCGAATCCGGATCTCCGATTGCAGAAGAGAAAAGGTCTCGGGTAAACAGTGTTCCTTAGACACGTAAGTTATTGTTGTCGCATACACTGTAATACGTGATTCCAGCTGCGCTCTTACAGAGAGAAAATAAAAACAAAACTTCACTTCAGCAAATTAGGAAAGCAACACTGCACGCTTGTTTTGCCAACACAATGTGGCGTCTCTGCCGTGACGCCGTCTACACTGTAACATTAATGAATATTAATGAAGTTGCACAATAGAGCACGCTGATTGGGTTTGAACCAAGTCTTACTCATGCATTAATGCAGCACACTGGGAGACGTAATACGGTACACCCAGGTACAGTCACCCAGTCTACACGCTGGAATACACGCTATGATCTCATGGCCGTGACGCAGCTTCAAAAATTAGTTCAAACCGGAAGTACGAATTTGCTCGAAATAACGCAAAAACAACCAATTTTCAGTTTTTAGTGAGATATATGTGTCCTTATAGTGTTTTTAGCAGTGTGGGACACATATACGACTGCTAACAGCTCAAAAAATGTGTTTTGGTGTTTCGTGACCCTTTAAACTAGCACACAGTTGGCTGTAAAACTATACAAAGACACAAATGATTGTGTACTCTCTGCTTGGTCTGTGTCTGTGGCGTACATGTACGGCTGAATGCTGATCCTCTCACTCAGTCTGCCTGTCTGTTGCAATCACACAGAGCGGTTGAGCTCTTGGCTCCACCCCCTTGTTATGTTGGGTGAGAAATCGAAACTAATTTTCATGTGAGGCAACACACCCCTAAAACGGCGAGCTGTGTGCGCGCCCCCAAAATAACACTTTTTAACACATTATAATAAAAACAACTGAACTGTGTGTTGAACTTAGCGTAAACTGGCACACTCAGAAGATTAATTAATATTTAATCACAAAAAGGGGTAAATTATGTGCCCTTTAACACTCAACTTCCATATGAATGAACTGAAAACACTGCGCTGCGTTTCTAACTTGCCAGTGGAAATGCAACGTTACCATTGTCCATTTGTGATTGAATCAATGACAACATATCTTAAAACCAGGTCTGACCAAGGCATGAGCGGCTCTTGTTTTAAAAAATAGCCAGTAACCTTCGGGTATTTTTGTTTGCTTAAAAACTGTTTACTGGCAAAAGAACTTGACACCACTTGGCTACATTTCTCTAAGAGTGCTTTCTCATTTGGTTCAATTGCCTGGACCATGCCCAAGTTTGAGTGTCCCCCCTTAGCCACCTTCTCAATTGGTTTGTGTTCACATTGTCTTTTTCCTCCTGAACCCCTGTAAGCTTGCGTCATCGAGCTGCTGTTTTGTTTACGGCTATTGCTAGGTGACATT